TTCCCCCCCCCCTTTTCCGTTTATCTCGATCTTTACATCGCGTAAATCGAATATCAACCGAATATCAACAAATTGTTCCTCCGACAATATTTGTATCCCTCGAAGCTGCGTCGTCGAAATGTTTCCCATTCTATCAAAACATGTTGCGTTCCAGCCACGGGGAAAACGTACGTAAATAACAAGCGTATTTCTGCGTACCTCTGTTTCCGATCGCGTTGTTTTCCGTCGCGCAGTAACTAAATAACAATCGCAGAACGGTTCGAAACGCCTGCGTCCGCGAGTTTTGGCGCGCGCGGCCGCGCGGCTCGAACGGGTGGCCCCCTCGAGGAGCAAGAGGCTCGAGAGCGTGCGTGGAATTTGCGTTGAAATTCTGACTCGCGGCCGTGGAAACGAACGGGGCCACGTTGAAACACGACACAGCCACGGAACGACGTTTTCACCCCACACGGTTGAAATAATTACATCCGATGCACTCGCCCGATGTACACCACGAAACGCTTGCCACAGGCCGGCTTCCACATACCTGTCTGTCGTGAGATTATCGATATCGAATTCGAAGCGGGTCGGGCGAGAGGCCAAACGGCGCAAACGGTTCCCCTGCGGGCGCGTTTCGCTTCTTCTCTGCACTTCTCTCCCGGTTTTCTGCGGTCCACCAGCGAAAGATAGGCGGAGGGATACGTGTTTCTCACGAAGACGTGTCTCTCGATTCGAGGAACATCGACGAACACCGAAGAATCGGAGAACGCGAGCGTTTGTGTCCCCGGTGTCTCACCAACAGTGTGAAAGAAAGAAATCGAAGAAAATCACAAATCGCGGTGCGGCTGGAGGGCCGTCTCGAGAGTTCAACTTGATCGAGGACGAGAGTCGCGCGAGAGTTGGCCACTCGGTTGGAAATTAAACGACGATTTGCAATGATAATATACGGACCTCGCGAGCACCGCGCTGCAGGGTATAACGACGTCGACCGGCTGGCTCTTAGGCACTGGGTACACCTGGCTGAGCCGCGGCGCACGACTCTTCCTCGACCGAACAGGCGAAGGGGGAGGGGGCACTGGGACCGCTGCCGACTAAGGAGGACAGAACGGTACGCACAATTCGATCGCAGGCTTCGACACCATTGAAAACAAGCCAACCTCTTTCTCTCCTTCCCTTTCTCGCGTGTGTCCATTGCCTCCACCCGAATTCTTCCCCCATTCCGCTAC